TGATACTACGCTTTGCGGTGCTCTTCTACGCCATGCCATGCCGTGCTCTACAATGCATCGCGTACCCTTTCGGGATCATTGCCCTGCTCGACATCCGACTGTGCGAGTAGAGAGGGGATCTGCGCCATGGTAAGGGATGGGAGGGAGGGGTAGGATGTCAGATATGACGCGAGCGCACCCAGCTTGTCCTCCCTCCCTCCCTCCCTCCCTCCCTCCCTCCTCCTCCTCCCCCCCACCCTCCCACAGGCGCGGGTTGCAGACCACACCCTCTGCAAGCCGCACCTCTTCGGAGTCGCCGATCCAGGGAGGGTCGAGGTCCCGAGGCTCGGGGATCGAGTGTCATTCGAACAGGGGATCGACTATAGAATGGATTTACCCAAAAAATGATGAGTTCGTCGAATCGATAGCACATGTGACATGTTCGTAGCTCTACGAACATCATACGTACGACTCGACGAGAAAATGAATTCTGGGGCAACTCAATTGTGTAGTCGATTCCGTGTTCGAGTCATGGCGACGTTGTTTTTTTTTGTTCTGGGCCTTCGGGAGCGCCCTCATCTCCATGATTCGGGTGCGCTTCGAAGTTCTGGTCAGAACGCGCGCCACGATGTGTCAGGAAGTCGACCTTCGAAGGACGAAGGTCCCGATGTCTTTTATGATGTTTTCTAATCCGATGGCCTCGTGACAGTCTCGCCTCTACACGGGGCAAGGATGCGAAACAACAAATTACCCTGCGACATACCCAAGCCATTGGCACCAAGGGATGATATAAGGTGTGCCAACAATAACGCGACAGCAACACTGCAAGAGACGGTGCACGGCGGATATCTATGTCGTGCGAAGTGTGCGTGGCCGACTCGCACAACGGAGGTACAAAAGACCAGGAGAAGCACAAGGAAGACATCGGGGTGGAAAAGCAATCACCTCGGCAGAAGCAGCGACATGATGGCGAGGTCTTTTCGGGAGTGGGACCTCCCTGTGTTGCCCCCCCCCAGAAGCCCTCGAATATGGGCGACAGTTTCACACTTCGCAGCCACCCAGGGATGGCGAGGTCCTCGTTGGATCCGCGTGAGCCTCACTGCGTTGCCACGCCCAGCAGCCCCCGAAAGTTGCGACAGTTTCACACTTCGCAGCCCCCCAGGGATGGCGAGGTCCCATTTGGTTTTGCGTGGGACCCCATTGTGCTGGCTCCCCCAGCAGCCGTCGAAAGTGGCGACAGTTTCACACTTCGCAGCCCACCAGGGATGGCGAGGTCCCGTTTGGTTTTTCGTGGGACCCCATTGTGCCGGCCCCCCCCCCAGCAGCCGTCGAAAGTGGCGACAGTTTCACACACTTCGCAGCCCCCCCAGGGATGGTGAGGTCCCGTCTGGGTTCGCGTAGGACTTCACCTTGCTGTCCACCCCCCAGCAGCCCTGGAAAGTGGCGACAAGTCCACACACCTGCAGCCCCCCAGGGATGGCGAGGTCCCGTTTGGGTCTGCGTGGGACACAATTGTGCTGGCCCCCGAGCAGCCGCCGAAAGTGGCGACAGTTTCACACTTCGCAGACCCTCAAGGATGGCGAGGTCCCGTTTGGGTCTGAGTGGGGCCCCACTGTGCTGGCCCCCCAGGAGCCGGCGAAAGTGGCGACAGTTTCACATTTCGCAGCCCCTCAAGGATGGCGAGGTCCCTTCGGGTCTGCGTGGGACCCCACTGTGCTGCCCCCCCCCCAGCAGCCCTCGAAAGTGGCGACAGTTTCAAATTTCGCAGCCCCCCGAAAATGGCGAGGTCCTGTTTGAGACGGCGTGGGACCCCACTGTGCTGACCCCCCCAGCAGGCAGGCGAGAGGGGGACAGAGCCGAGAGGAGAGCGGAGGGGGGCGAGAAGAAGAAGGTGGAGACCCCACTGCTTTATTCAAAACGAGAGCCCAGCCAAGAGAGGGTTGGGAAAAAACGAGCAGATTGTTTCGGGGCCAGGGTGCGATTGTTAGGATGGAGTTTCTCGGATTTCCAATTCGACAAACGGCGCTAGTAGGTCCCTGGTCAAAAACTTACCTAATCTGGCTTAGCCCCGATGAATCCAGCCTAATCCCGCTTAGTCTGGCATAATCCTCGGCCAGATCCGCTATTGTATGGCCCAATGTTTTTTGTTTTTTATCCAGCTTACGTAATAGCATTTAATTTAGCTATTCCGTCGAAGACATCCCAGGAGTTGCCTCCTAACGTCTGATCGCACATGAGCCCATCTTCCCCTCTGAGGGGCGACGCCGCCGTCAGCTGTTGCCATGCGCTGAGCCGTATGCTCCTCCCGCCCGCTCCTCGTGTGCTGCCTCCCGTGCCGGCGCAGGACACGGTGAGGCTCCGCTGAGAGGTGCGGCGGCGCACCCAGACGGGACGAGGGGGGCGGGGGGCGGCTAGGGGCGGGGAGGTCGAGGAGGCAGTGGGCGGCGTAGGGGGAGGGGGAGGAGGACGAGACCAGAGGAGCAGGAGGAGGAGGAGGAGGAGGAGGAGGAGGAGGAGGAGA